TTGCCGCAGCCCAATCTTCTCGTGCAATGAGAAGATTTGTCAAGCAAGATAGGCCTTTCCGAAAACCATGTTGTGCCCTGGAGAAAAGATTTTGCCCTTCAACATAGTTTATAACAGCTATCCGAATGATTTTCTCCATCAGTTTTACAACTGCACTAGTTAAGCTAACGGGTCTATAGTTACTAACTAAATCCCTACTCCCAGCCTTATACACCGGACTTATTATGGCGTCTTTCCAGTCTCTAGGAAGTCTGGACTGTCTCAGAGACATGTCGAATAGTATCGCTAATGGTTCAGCAATTTCATCTGATATGGCTTTCATAATCCTAGGATGAATATCATCAGGACCACTGGACTTATCAGGTTTGAGATGCTGAAGTAGCCTTAAAACAGTATCTTTCTCAATGACTACAGGATCCATCAGCGAGCCGTCACGGTCGCGACGAATCATTGGTCGTTCCTCATTACCGATAGAAAACACTTTACTAAAATATTCCGATAAAGCTTCAGCTTTTTCGGCATCATTCTCTGCTAAGATTAACGGATTTTCTCGTATCAAAAGTGATGGAATTCCATCGCTTCTCTTAGTTCGCCTTTTTATATACGAGAATAACCGTTTCGGACTATATCTAGAATCCCTAACCAATTGTTTTTCGTATGATAGTCTAGTCTTTTTTTAACGCTTTACAGGCATTCCTAATCTTACAATAACTGGATCTGTATTGTTCTAAGCCAGTAGAGATGAACATATTCCAGTGATTCTTCCTTTTTCTAAGGAGTTTCCTGACCGTTTTAGTTATCCATGGTGGACTATTATTCGGTCTTCGCGGTACCAGGTATGGTATGAACGGGGACGTAACTAGTCTAAATTTACCTTTAAATACAGACCATGCTTCTTCAACTGATATGCTAGTATCTACTAACCAATCTGTCTTAGCAGCGCATTCCTGAATGGCTGATATGTTAGCTTTCCATACATTTGGGCGAGGTGTAACCTGATCGTATAACATGTCCCTAGTTCTAAACGTGAATGACAAAACAGCGTGATCGCTGTTCACTAACGGTGGGAGAATATTAAGTCGACAATATCCTCAGTCTCATGAGTGATTACCAAATCCAGCAGAGAAGAACCCTGGTTAACACCAAAACGTGTGGGTTGGGATACATGCTGCACTAGTGCATGCTCCATTATTGTTATCAGGAACCACTATCAAAGGAGTTTATAGATCCTTCTGTGGTCATATCAGTCCAACTAATATCAGGTGGAGTAATGTCCAAGTCATAGACTAACCAAGTTTCTGTCACTGCTACTATGAGTGGCTTTAACCTGTCCACTAGTGCTTCTAGTTCATAGAACTTTCGAGCGTTGGAATATAAAACTCCTAAGTAGAACAGCCTATCCACACAGGCCTTGGTAGCATTCGCTTCCAAGACCTGAATATCCGAAAACCCACTAGCCGGAGATTTTCCTCGATGTTTTGCCGACGGGTTTCAAGTTCAGTTAGTGCTTTCTTCCTTTTTATTCTATCTTCGAGAAACATGTCAGGTCTAACTCGGATGGCAGAATTGTCGTGACAACGAGCGCTACTTAACAAGAGATCCCGTTGTTTCTCCTATCCTAGGATTACCTTAAGGAGTCTGCATGGACGGGGTTCAACATTGTCCTCGGTCCTCTTGCCTATTCTTACCAATTTTTTGACCTGAACTCCTTTGGAGTTATCTGGTAAAATACTACGAATGTATTCTACTAGCTTTCCTAAGTCATGCGCGTGTCTAATTTTCGGATCAGGGTCGTTTGAATCCCGCAATTCGCTCACAATAATATTCGATGTTATTAGATTTTTCTTCTCAGTCGCGCCACGATGGGTTTCACTCTTACCATCAGATCTTGGTAGTGCAATTTGTGGCCCACAATTTGAGTCCACCAGTGATTTACTAACTATCTGTCTACTGCTTACAGCTTTTTTCTTTTCGTTTCCTACGTACCGTAGTCCAATTTTCATCCCTCATAACACTTGGACTATTTGAAACGGTGACTGTTTTATCGGTGAGACTCTAATTTAAGGACGACCTTTGAACGAATCTTAGGTGACCTTGACAATTATTAGCCAATCAGAAGAAAGTAAGTATAAAGTGAAAATATATTATACGAAAGTAATGTGTTACAGTGAATATTCTCCTTTTACATTATTTAAAAACTTGTTAAAGTTTGATTAGGGTTCAGAGGTTCTGAATTCACAATGCATATGGAATAGAAGCTCGTCCATTGGATTAGGGTTAGGTTTACGGATAAGCTTAGGGTTTAGTGTTAAGGTTAGGGTTAGGGTTAAAATTAGAGTTTAGGGTTAATGTTAGGGTTGGGTGAGGGTTAGGGTTAAGGTAAGGGTTAGTTGAGGGTTAAGTTTTAGGGTTTAGGGTTAAGGTTAGGGTTAGGATGTTAACATACGAGTCTTTAAATCATGTAAAAGAAGAATATCCACTGTAATTCATTACTTTCTTTTAATATATTTTTACTTTATGCTGTCTTCTCATTGACTAATAAGTGAAATTGCTCAAGCGCTTCTGATTGGCTCGTCCCTAAATTAAAGTCTCGCCGTCCCATTTATTGTGGCCTCTCATTAATCACCTACTCTCTAAAATGCGCTGTGAACCGATCGTATGTTAGCATCGCGTGTTGAACTTGGCTCCGTGACCTTGAAATTGCTCAAACGCTTCTGATTGGCCCGTCCCTAAATTAGAGTCTCGCCGTTTTAATCCATATCTTTGATTCCCACTAAAGATGCATTATTAACAATGTCACTACCAGGTGGTACTACTCCCCCTGTTAATGTTAACGGAGATTTCACTTTTACGTCGGTCAGAGTCGGTTGTTTGAGGCGTCGCGTAACAGCAGGTACTACACTGACACATTCGTCACTGTCAGTGCCTGTGTTGTTAGCGCATATGCCATCCTTCTCCTTACAGGCCAAAGCCAATAGGCTCATAGCCTCCTGTATTAGTAATGCCTTGTTGGCACAGCAAAACATGCAAAGCCAATGTGAGTTAGGCTTCGAACATCTTTTGTATGCAATTGAGACTTAAACGGGTGTGCATTTTGAGGAACCACTTATTGCATTCGTCACACTGCATTCCTTCCTCCACAGGGAACAAACAGTTTGGTTGTCCACATTTGTGAGTACTACCAACCATTTTAGTCAGATCAAGGTGTAACAGACAATATGATCACAGTATGAACACAAATGTCAGTCAACGAATAAAAGGTTACCGCAAGACAAACTTAAGCAAGATTTTAAACCTTAACTAATGTACTTTGATACAGACTAAGAATGCTTTCAAATGTAATAAATACACGAAAACCAAAAAACTCAACACAATAGCACTTTAACTGTAGTAGATTCAATTAAAGTGTAAATCACAGTTTTGATACGTAATTTACGATCAAAACAGTTAACTAATTCAACGAGAAACAATACCACTGTCCTTTTTAAATAGCGCGCTCACTATTTCAACAGCATGTTAAAGGCTAGATCAAACAGGAGGCCGCTAGGATTTACAGTGGCTAACCATCCTTCTGACATTTCCGAATTGAAACATAAGATGAAACTGACCTTTTAGCTCACGGTCTTGATATTTGAAGGTCAATATGCGCGAAAAGTAAGTAGTAACTTGCATTCGAAAATTTTTAGTTGAACGCAATTTCTACAATACTTTTGGCGTACACTATCCGATTGTCCTAATTTCACACTCGCATTTTTACAGATCTTTGTTGATAATCTTCAATATTTAGTGTAAGTTCATCAGCCAGCGAATCGTTGGCTAGGATTTATTTGTTTTTATCACGTCTAGGGCAGTGTTATTTTCTTTAGAATGTGAAAAAAAACATTTAGGCTGTATGCGAATCGTGACATACTTCTATATCAGCCGATTGTTCATTTTCAAGTCTATCACAGATATATATGTTATATAACAGTTGGTTTTATTCCACTTATCTTTTGTCTTTAGTTTGTGCATAAATACATTCGTTATCATATGTCACGATCTTTTTGAGTACTTCAGTAAATTCTGGTTCGGTTTTTTGGATATGTTTCTGATAAAATGTCTGATTTTAATTTCCTCTGAAAACTTGTGCCTTTTTCAACTTACCAATTCATTTCTTGAAGATTCGACTGCAAAATATAATTATGGAGATACTTTCTGTCTTTAATAATTGTTACGACGTAATCTAAGGCTTTCGTTATTTTTTGTCAGCCTCTCTTCTGCAAACTGTTTATTTATTCCTATCGTTTTTATGTTAGCCGTGAATATCAATCCGATACACACATACATTAGCAAAATTTGAAAAATGCATTTAACGTAGGTTTTGGAACAGAACTCATCAGATTCATGTATAATGTACTTTTGTGCATGCGAAGAGACCTGCACCTGGAGATAGTAAAACCCCGTAAATTCACGTACATTTATTGTCTTCAGTCTTCAGTAATAAGGACAGGTCTGTCGATCTATATTAATCCTTACAGTTTGTAACACTGTGGGGGTCCAATGTTGTTTTGAATATATCAACAGAAGGTGCTGATATTTTATTGGAATTATGTATAAAGCTCTTACTGTTGCTCAAAACAATCATCATTAAACACACAGATCACAGCCATTTTTTACAAATCGTAGAATGACTGTAGATCTGGTAGTGTTAGTCCGAACCTTCACACTTATGCATTACATATGTCATTTGACGTTTCTGTTGCATGTGTACTGTTTATACAGGGACATAGTATGTTTCATGTCATAGAGTTGTTTAGGCCCAACCATTTCGAAATGGTTTATAAATAAACAAAAAATAGACCTATTAAGGCAAACTAACTAAGTTTTTCCCAAAACAAATTTGAATAGCAAATGATAAAAATTGACAGACTATGGATACTGTTTTTTCAAAAGTGACATTGTAAAATATGGCATCCAATATATTCCAGGTTATATACAGCTAATACACAGAACTCAGCGATATGTTTGTTGCATGTCCTCATATTGGTCTGCAGTGGGTTGCGCTTTTATTGGCTTTGATCATGAGTTTCACAGTCCTAACAACGTAAGTTAATTCCCGTGTTTATTATTTCAGATGTAAAACATACATATTTAAGTCTTTTACGTAACATGATTATTGTTGTGCTCTGTTGGAAACAACTTTGTGAACATTCTTCTGTTAGTTGATGGAAGGAATAAATTTCTAGTTAAAGTTCCAGAGTATTTAAAACTAATTGGCTTTTTTATTCCCATACATGATAAGTCCACCCAGAAAGAGTATATTTCTAAATTCTCAAGTAACTTACAACTATCGGACGTATTATGTCTTACAAACTAAACGAGAATAGGAAGAGGTAGTTGGACAATCGATTGAGATCGTAATAGTTTGTAAAAATTAACTGAAATCTAGATAATTCTATTGCTTAGTATTTCCTAGCTCTAAAATTCATGTCATATTCAAATAGAGACTATCCGGTTTCTTACCAGGCTTGGTTTCCAATCAATTTTCACGATTAAATTCCGTTTTTTCTAATTAAAAGTTTGTAACAATGAATAAAAGTAAACTTCAAAAACCTTCCAACCTCAACTTCTCTGATAAACATAACCCCTATGTAACGTTATTGAGATAGCATCAGAAAAAATATGGAGATTACCAGGTATTTGCAATATGTTTGGAATATCGCAAATATTTAACTTAAAGATGGTAGTAGAAAAATATTTCCTGAAACTGAAAAATACCCCTTTGGCATTCTAAGAGCGGTCATAAATTGTGTAAATGAATATTTTAGGTAGATGAAGATCTACTAAAGTGTGATTTTTTTGGGTTACTCCGTGAAGTAGTTCACACATTCAGTCGTGGATTCATCATACAGTTGAATATATATATTATCTTTTGCTTCTTACCTTAATAAGATAAAAATATGAGTTATCGATCCAAGTCTACACAGTTTTTGAGTCATTTCAGATGGATGTATTTGAACATCCCTATTTGTTAAACGGGTTTTTGGATGAGTACTAATAGAGCAATATGATATGAGTGTTAAATACAGTCCCGTAAGTTCACTGCTTGTTATTTAATAGCATAACTTGAAAATGTAATCTGTTGACTAAATCAATCTTTCGTAAAAAAATTAGCATTTTATAAGTTATTTGCTTTTAGAACTAAACCTGATGATTTTATTATATAATAAAATCTTTTTGTTTACTTCAATATAGATATCTTATTTCCATCCATAGAGGACATGTAAATGCAGAGTTGCCATTTATCAGGCAAGTAAATACATATTGATTGTAATAATGCATTACTGCATTATATTTAATCTAGATTGTGTTAAATTAATAACCATCTGAAACTCTTTAGTTAGCCCACTAACAATGTACAGTACTGTGAGAGGTTTATAACTTTCAAAAAATAGAAGACGTAAGCAGATTGCAGATATGCAAGGACGGAAATTTGTGTTTTTATATAAAATTCGGTCGTAGGCAAATAAGAGATGGTTGAAACAAATCATTTGTAATGTTTGACGAGCTAACAACAATAATGTTCTTGACAGGGCTTTGAACTTTAATGAAGTTGTTAATAACTGATACACCTTTAAGGAATGTTTATTAAGTCTAAAATGATACCGAATTTAAAATCTGACTGACATTTTTCCTTCAATCAAGAAAATAATTTGGTTAATGATTTGAAGTTTTTGACTAGTTAGTAGCTTCAAAGTAGACTGCTTCCAATTTTTTCATGATCAAAATAATTTACTAACCTCAGTAACTTATCGGGCATTAAAGTCTGGAGCATCATACACTATTATTGTGAGTTGCGTGAAAGCATTGAGGACATCCGCAGGAAATACTTGAGAAGTCAACAGTAAGTGATTTGAAACCCTAGCTCACGACGTAAGATTTCATCCAAAATAACCTAAATACATTTATGATACAAGTTGATTAGACAGTCTTAAACTAATGAGTAGTCACATAAAATGTAAAATTAGACTTTGTGAATTGAAGCCATTTTTCTTATCAGGAAATGCAATCGCGTTTGTGAGTAAACAAAAAGCTCACTGTGAGACGGAAAAATGAATGTTTTTCAGCAAAGAGATATTTTTTGCGGAAATTTAATTTTCAGAGTTGTACAACCATTTGTATATAATGTTTTACAACTATGAAGTATGAAAAAGACGACAGATCGAACACAGAAAAGTATATAATAGACTTGGAATAATGTGTTAATTATATCATAGGTTGAAAAGAGCTGGAGTATTTAATAGACATAAGGCAAATCAGGATAATTACAAAACGAATTGCGTTTCACAGTAAGCTAAGCCTGGGACCTGAATTGTAGTCAATAAAAAGAAGTATAAATAAAAAGCAAGAGTTCCACTGCGTGATAAAGGGGGATGAAGATGTGTAAAGAAGAACTCATAAACTATTGGTTGGTTCAATCTCAAAAGAAGTCAAACGAATTTCTTTTTTATTCCTAGTTCGGGCTTTTTATTTGTTTATCGAGAGCTCCTGGACCACAATAAGGCGGTAACTATTAAGTTTTACAGGCCTTTATTACTTTGTTAAATGCTGCTAAAATGAGTCCTGTTTGGATTTTAGAGCTAATATCTACTTCATGTTCTACCATAAGACTTTCAATTCAATTTATGTAGTCCATAATTACCCACCCAAAATAATATTCTTGAACGCTTTTAGGAAAAATAACCATCAAAATATCAGGATGCATTGATTCATAAGAACAAGTAACTTAGCAAATAAACTCAAAAGCGGTCAGATACGAGAGATTTCCGAAAATATAAGTCGACCATAGGACATGGTTCTCATAGTCTCCGTAAAATATTTTCCTTCAAGGACATTCGAAATCATGTTCTCTAAATTATCAGCATCTGTTTTGTCTTTGACATGGGCATTTAAGTAGATCATCTTTTTTTAATCGAAGGTAGCCGATTATCTTGAAGGTTTGGACTTTATCTTTTTACTGATGTAAGCCTATCTTCGACCTTTGTTTTCTAAGAAAGTGTGTTATTTCTTCCTTAACAAAGGGACATATCATCGTATGCGTATATTACTAATTGTAAAAAATATCGATCTATTGGATAATACTGCGGTCATCATTATTCTTTAACCCAATGAATAACACTAGTATTTTTACCAATGGACCCTACGTCTACCTCTTGGTATGAACATTAGATCTGTTTGACGTCTGAATTTCATCAAAAAGTTTATCTTATATATGTGATGCTACTTTATTTCATATACTTTTTCAGCTAAACGGCTTTATTTTTTATTTTAAATAAGAATATGATATTGGCTTAGCTTATGTGTAAACGAATTTAAGCATTAGAACTTTCTTATGCCTCAATCGATAGTTTGATAGAAATCTATGGTTCTTCTTGTCTACGTTACCGTAAAGCCCATTTTAAATATATTTTATACGCTTTTTCAGCTCTACAGGTGCTTATCCACCAGAAAGTTGTATATTTGGTGAGGGATTAAACTTAGCTGCTTTTATCAGTAAGTCTGAGTTTCATAATTCTATCAAAGAAAGTATATTCAGCAAAAGAAATTATCACGATTTTAATTATAGTTCAAGTAGATTTAAACAAGTTGAAAAAAGTATTAAAAATAACGATTTATTTGGAAATGAAATCCAAATTAATGGTCAATTACTCTGTACTTTTTCTACTGTGCGACGGAAATTCTCAAGAGAATTTTGTTTAAAACCTTTTCTGACTGTTAATATTGTATACTTTCACTTTAATTATTGTATGGTAAATAAGCCAGAATACAAGTCATCTTTTACCATTTGTACTGTACTTCATAAAAGTGGGAAAATTAACTTTGAAGTCTTGACCTAATCTATCGACATGCACAGATAAATTCTTTCTAGACTAGCTATTTGGTATTTGAATACCACATTGGAGGAATTTACCCAAGAATTAAAAAGGCTGTTAAATACAGCTTAGCGTTTGCGTACAATTTCAGTGCATTTGGCTATGAATCCTATTTATCTATACTGTTAATGGCCATCTATAATCATCTAAAAAGATGGAATCATTATTTAGTCTAAGTGATAACGTGATTAAAAGTAAACTATAAGATTATTAGACTTGGATTATCGATTTTGTGAATCTATCCAGTTTGTTTAATATTTTTAGTATTTTATATTTCCATATTTGTTTCAAGTAAAATCTCAACACCATTATTTATTGATTGGTGCTGTTATATGGGTTGAAGACAGCTTGTATCCACGTAAGGTTTGATAAATTTTATTCTTTAATACCATCAATCCAAGAAAACTAACTAAAGGCTTTTTTAAAAATTGTTGTATTCCAGAATAATGGTTTTGCACATACTCATTGATTAATTATTCGCTCAAAGTAGTTTACATACATATTAAACAGTGATAGAGCTCACATTATAAAGTGAATAACTTCCGTCTGTTCGAATAGATTTAATGGCTAGTTTTTAAAATATATTGTCAACCAATCTGATTTTTAATGTTTCAGCTAAATGAATGCATTTTAATGAAACTGGAGTAATATGATCGTGCGACTTTTCAGCTAGAAAGAAGCTCGTTCAACTTAAACCGCAAATTATTTACATGCTCAAAACAAGAAAGCCAACTGATAGTCCTACGCATTATTGTTGCTACAAATGACAATTTTATTAGAATACCCTCTCTTGATGAATAAAGTCACCCACGATTGTTTAACGAAATATGACTTTTAGTTTTTTATAATGCGATAATTTATCAAATTCTGGGTTTTTAAAATAACGGATTAAATTACAGACTTCAAAGTTGATATACATTCTAAATTGTGTAGAAATTACGTAAGGTGAGACTATAATTTATGGCCGACCTTTGAGCGACGTTAAAATGGCCTTGAAAATGTCCACTCACTTGCTAGGGCCAAATGAGAGTTATAAACCTGTGTGAAGAATGATGACTATGATTTACAGTTGATGGTGAGGGTTAGCAATTAGATTTAAAGTTTTCACTGACTGACATCAGCTAAATTCCCAAAACGCCCTTTAACCAAACGGATGAATAAATTTCGTGCCCAAACCCAAGATCTGTTATCCTAAACACACACACAGATATTTATATAAAGCGAAAAGAACAAGATTTGCAAAATAACATAGATTCACTAGATTTCAAGGCTTCTCATTAGCTACAGACGTTCTAACTTACATCGGTAATATTGTTGCAAAAATCTTTATACACTGTAATCAACGAAGTTTAGTTCAACACGACATACGAAGTAAGAAAAGGAAGCAGTATATTAGATCAAGGAGTTGAGGCTGATTGGTATCTATATTTAGATTGATATCATGAATGGATCGATATTAGATCACCAATTAAAACCTGGTATCACTAAACGCCCGTTTCGTCCTATTTTGGAACTCCTCAACAGTGCTCATCTACAATCCTGCACGCTGTACTCGAATCCAGGACCTTCGGTCTCGCGCGCAAACGTTCAACTTCTAGACCACTGAGTAGGCATCCAACGGTCTTAATGCGCACTTCTGAGGAATCCAGTACTAGGACGAAACGGCTGTCCATTGCTCCCAGGTTTTTAATAATGATCTAACATCGATCCATTCGTGATATCACCCTAAACTCAATCTCCACAACTCTATACTGATAGTATTTATATGTTGAAGATGAAGTCATGTGAAGATCAGGTTGAAGTTATGAATCATAATAATAGACAATGACTAGAAACAAATAATTGAACAAAATAACGTGAATTCATTTTATCTTGTATGGCTTTCATCACCTACTTATAATTTATGATATTAAAAAAACAAAATCACTGTAAAGTTTGCATGCTTATAACAGTAAAAATAGATATGTATCATCATAGTGGAATAATAAGAGTGAAGATATATAAAGAGTGTTGCAAAGAAGTATGATATGTGAGATGGGATTCTGGATTATCAGACATATTAGTAAGAAATTATAGCGATAAAATAATTACTCGATTATATAATGAAGTAGTTGAACATAAATCAAAAGCATTTTAAGATATCATATATTGGGATCAGTTAGCTAAAAATAAAATTATGAATTTAATGGTAGTGATGCAACTAAAATAATAGAGAGAAAAAACAGGTGCAAGAGTGATGTAATGAACTGATAATAAAATCGTCATGGTAAGGAAAGATTTGCAACTACTTCCTTTTGGATACATAAATCTGGCTTGAGTCGTTTGATGGCTATAGCTCCGAGGAGTTTAACAAAAGTGGAATTTGGCTGTCGATTGATAATGCTGAAAGATTACAGTCTGTCAACTTGATACCTTGTGTCACAGAAATATTTGGCAATAGTAATGTTAAAAGCCTTAAGTTCAGTTGGCACTTTTTGGGATGTGTTCTTGGAATCGAACATGGACCCTTTTTGCTGTTCTACAAATGTGGATGTTTCAGCAAGTGCATGTAAATTCTCATACGCAGTTGGCAGTAACATGAAAGGTGTAACTGTCGATCTTCGATTGGAGTAAAGAACATATTGATTCATACAGGATAAGTTCTATTCAATGTCGTTTTTAATCTACTGCTTATCGTCATTAAAACGTCGTCACTTTTGGAATCAAGTGGAATGAAAATAGGTTTCTTTTCTTCTGCAGTTTCTTGGAGTGTTTTGTCTTTACTTTTCCTATATTGTTCAACAAATTCCTTTGGATGCCCCCTGCCTCTTAGGATTTCTTCAACTTTCAATAATTTTGCTTTCAGTGTATTGAAAGTACATGTCCGTTCCTTTCTGTGAAAGTGTTTTGATAAGTGCCGTTTTGTAACTTATCGAACAAAAGCTGTTAAACTTCAAATAAATATCATCCCACGTATCTTTTCGATGAGCTGAATGTTGAACTGTACCATCCTATCTCTGTTGTACTGTAATGTTGAAGAAGTGGGACTCATTATCCTTTTCGTATTCCATGGTAAACTGAATATTTGTACCAACGTCGCGAAAGAGGTTAACCAGGTGTTTTGTCTGCCGTTGATCGTTACATACAATAAAAGTATCGTCAACATACCCTGCGTAACATATCGTTTCATTAATCGCTCCTTTAAGCTTGGTCTTTTCAAAGTTAGCCGTGAGTAAATCTGCTAGGACAGAACCAGGTGAACTTCCCATTTCTACACTATTTTGATGGCGTATGGTGTCATCAAATTGAAACTGTACATCTTTCGTGTACATAATTAGCAGTCGTTTGAGTTCTGGCACTGGTAGAGATAGGAGGTTAGATTGCTCAAAAATTATGTCTATGGTTATCTGAAGTGTTATTTTGGTAAGAAGAGATGTCATATCAAAAGAAACCATCGACTTACCAGCAATATTTATGTGGTTGAGACTGTCAGCAAATCGAAAAGAGGCTAAGTGGTGACGATCGGATTCTAAGTTTTCCTCTAGCCGGTGTACAACTTTGTGATGAGGTGAATTTACCGTTGACAAAATAAGCTTAAGCGAGATTCCCTGTTTATGAATCTTCGGCAGGCTATACATATGCGGTGAATGCTATTAATATTTTTTCTCTACAATAACTCCCTGAGTACGCTCGTGATTTGTCTTTCTGTTGAGCCAGTTAAGTCTCTGTTGCATTTATCTGATCAATATTTTGTTCTTTCTGTCTTCAAGATGATAAAGGAACTAAATGCATGAGACTGGAAAATATTGTAAATAAATGAGTGGTAGTCAAAGCACCTATCTGACACAAAATTCAAGTTGATGCCACAGGTGTGTGTGATTGTAGTTTGTTTTATTTTAAGTTATTAAGTACACAAAAGTAAGAATGTAATTGGCAAACGTTCATGACGACGAAAAGGTTACCGCACACTCTCTCTGTGTACAGAGGTCAAGTTGAAAGCGCTTGAATTTATAGCCTCTGAAAAGCGGAATAGAAGTGATGTTTACTATTTGTTAATTATTACAGATTTTTGTTGCATCCGTATTGTGAGCGCTATCGATCAAATGTCTGGTGATTGCACTTATGAATACCTTAATTCCTTTCAAGCACAGCTTTGAGCGAATACGTTTGGGAAACCTTGTAAATCCCCTATTTCAGCCCTTCTATGTTTTTACTTCCACAAATACATGTGGATTCGTAAACACATTTAGAGATTACCTTAGAGGGGTATTAATCCACTTTTTATTCGTTTAAGAAACGTTTAGTGTTTAATGCTAAGGTAGTTAGGCTACATGAAACATTCTTTTCAGAACTGCTTTAAGCCTTTCGTCTATCCTTCATAAAATCTCCTCACCTTTCAATCCTAGGCGAGTGGAAACCGGCTTTATGTTAATATTAGTATAGGATTGTGGAGATTGTTGAGTTTTTAATTGAGATCATGAACTGATCAATATTAGGCCACCATTGAAAACCAGGAGGCACTCGACGGCCGTTTCGTCCTATTATTCATTGATAGAAAATTTAATTTTATTCATTTGTTATACAATAAACTAGTGTTGTTTCTATTTCAGTACAACGAAATTGATAAACGTTTCATGCTAACGTTATTATTGTTGTTTTGAATCATAAACTAAGTTGATTTGATTGATGTGAACTGATAGAATGCTATGTTTAATTGGAAACCTCGGTATATAAGTAGTAATGTAGTATATGCATTTTTATGCATGATTCTTGCATGTGTATGTTCGCATAGTAAATGTGTGCACCACAGATTTTTTAGAATAATTTTTTCTACCTTTTGGTTTAACGAATTAGTAATTCTTCTGCTTATTTACAAACCTTTTCTTATGGTAAAAATCCAATGACATTATCGATCCTCACTTAATGTATAAATACTTGCTAAAACATTAATTTTCATCACATGATGAATGACGTGTTTTATAAAGTAAAATTATGAGACCAACTCACAAATCACAATGACAACACGTAAAACAAAACTTTGGAACTCAGCTGAATTACAATAAAGTCAATTTTCTCTTATTTTGGTTGAAATCGTTCTGTCTTACTTTATTGTTGACTGCACAGAACAAACATTCATATATTAAATATCATTTGCGAATCTTTAGAGATGCAAACTATTCGGTATTCTTATGAAACCACTTAAAAACATGTTCTTTTTAGCTTGATATAGTTAATGAAATTTTTATCCGTTGTGGTTTTTTCGCTACTATAGGTTTGATATGCTCCTTTTTCTGGTATTTAATCGCATTGGAGAGAACAAAATTTATGGGCATACATCAACCAAAATGTGTTCTTAAATTTATGCTTTTATTGTCTCTAGTTGCTTCAATTGGTTTAACATTGGTTGGGAATTTCCAAGTAAGTTTACATAAATGAATCTATTTGAAATGCATGTATCTTTAATAAATGTACAGAGCTACCCATACATATAATCGGATTATAATTTCGATGAATGGGTACAGTTTGTTTATCAAACTTTTTCGAACAAACTTTAAAGTACAGGAAAAGTTTCTGAATCCAAATCTCGTTGTGAAATTCGTTAGTTTATTAACTCGTAGTCTGAAGTGAAAAGTAGTATTTAACTTTCTGATAATCAGTGGTATAATTTCTATCAAATCCATCTTGAAGTATATACACATTTCCATATTTGACTTTCTGTACTCATGAAACAGATTATGCTGTTCTGTCAACAAAAAAAGTCTACGTCCATCGGTTTTTATCATTATACTAAATTTGTTAACCTAAAGTCTTTTTGTAACTTTCTTTATCGTTTGTATAGCATAATTTGAAAGAAAACACCTATAATCATTATCTGAAGTGACTAATTTATAACTGTACAACCATGGAAAATAAAATGAACATCAACAACTTCTAAAGAAAAACCGCAAATCACTGGGCGTGTAAAATCGAACAACGAAACGTAAATCGCATATCATTATTGAAGATATTAATCAGTGTTTTTTTACAATTTGCATCTCCAGATGTCCTTAGGTAGATAACTACCGAAAACGACGTCAATCAGCAGCAGAGTGCATCCAACTCTCGACTGGGAATCAAACCCAGGACCTGCAGTTTTTTAGAGGTTTAGTGAACAAAGCCCCGTGAAACAAATAACTTTTCTTTTGTTTGTAACGATAATGTTCTTACATTTTTATATGCTAATGATAAGATAAATTACGCATTCAAGATTATTATTTTAATAATCTATTAAATGCACTTCATTTAGTGATGATCAAAGTTGTGATGGTCATTATCTGATCTGTGATATTTTTATAATGGCTTATGCTCTGCTAGTTATCAGGTGACAAAGTCGACAATCTGAATATCGACTTATATAACCTTGTTCTTGTGTTAAAATTGTTGTGGGGAACAAGTACACCAGTGGGGACAATCGAATTTATTTGAACACAAAATTGCAGAACGTCTTAGTAAAATCTGAGAACCATACAGTAAATGCTTCATTTGCAAATTGTTTATTAATTGTCTCAGACTTCATTGTTCCTGCATTTCTAAATCAATTGTTTTCTGTTTCAGTCTTTTCCTCATCGACCTTCTACTGCCAGATATTCTATTCCTGACTAGCGTTATATACTACTTATGTCGACATCGGTAGCACACATCACACAATAACACGTTAAGCAGCATTAGAAGCCTTGCGTCAACTCTTAATCTTTATTGGTGTTTCTTGCCTAGCCCTGCCCATTGAGTTGAGAATTTAGTCTCAGTTTCTACTGTATGAATCGCGTATTTCAGACGTACGTGGTTTATATACTAGTAGACCAGACCGCACCACACCATGAAATAAAAAATAAAAATTATACCAAATCAGCCCCAAAGTGACTGTGAGTGTAAGAGACTGTAACTAATAAGTTGGGAATAAGTTAAGAATGGTGAATCGTATAACAGTATCCAATAGGTCAAATGAAAGCTCATGATAAAAGGATATATATAATTCAGTTACTTAATAATTACCCAATAAAAATATGTGTAATAATAGCCTTGGTCGGGATTTATGCATCCTGTGTGGATTGTCTCTGTATATCATTATGACACAGATGTATGTAGAATAAGTACACTTTAGGTAGAAGTAGAATCCAGAACACGCGAAATCATCGACATCGTTAAAAATTCGGTTCAAATTCATTCTCCTTGTGCAAGTGAGTGGCTTTTGGGACTTAGCAGGTTATTGGATAACACGTTGGCGTTTGAAGCAAGAAAATTTCCTCTGTCATAAATATCCACTTTACATTCTTATTATATGTTCATATTTATTCATATTATTTTGATTTTTTTATATTTTCAGCAAGTTAACGTTGAATTAATACATGATATTGGTGCTGGGATGGCTTTTTTCGGAACCACGATTTATATCATTTTGTGTGCTTTAGTTAGCAAGCGATACCTTGGAACACATTGGTGTATATGGGCTTTTAGACTTCTCTTAGGAATTATGGCAGGAATAACATCAAGTCTTTGTAAGTCACAAAAAACACAGAGAATACTAGTAAAATTTTGTCGTATAGAAAGTAAAACTATCAATTCTCGACATAAAAGTAATTTTTAAGTCTCTCTGGTTATATTACCAAAATATATTCATTTGGATACAAGATGCTCTTTTTCCGTGACTACAAACATACTCGTACATGGTTACTTACGATCAATGACCTTTGACTAGACATCTCTTTACAATACTTTTCGCCTTCATTTTTACATCTAGTGTTTACCAGTTTTATTATTCAGTTGTCTTACTAATGTCTGCTCCACTGAATGCGACCCTACTGTTGTACCGGAGAATAAATCACTGCCTAATCGATCGATATATTTGACACAATGTTGAAAGTCGATGACTGTTTACTACTGTGATGATACGCGTCCTGCAGTGATTTAGAGTCCTATAAAATAATGTTTCTCTCCAGAACGTATTTTGTTAGATAAACACTTATATTTGTATAAAAAGGTGAAACGAAATATGTTTGTGATAATGATACTGTAGGAATAATATGATTATAAGTAATTTGATAGTTGACAACTTTGATCCTAGAATCTCAGACATAGCTTCGAAAGACATCATGACTGAATAATAATGCTTAGCTCGAACTATCGAAAGTGGTATAGCGTGAATTTGGATTATAGGTATACAGACGTTCACGAGGTAGTTAAAGTTCGTGAAAGGAAAGCTGAGTGTACTCAAAAGTCATTTAGTTTACTTAGTCACAGTATTAGATTACTAGTGAACTTTTGATGGTATTAAGTTGGTTATAATTTTGAATTTCAGAAAATTAAGTTTTCTTATGAAATGAGAGATGCCCTGGACGGAAATACCCTGGACATCTATTGCATCCTACTTTTAATCTCCTTAAAATTCCTCATCAACGAACGTACAAAGATTTTAACCTAGAAGCTTCGAATCTCACGGCAAGTACGGTATTATCGAGCACTGGAGTCGTAATTTAATTGTCTTTATTTTCATTTCAGTCAATAAGTTAAATAGCACGATTTTCCTTCGTCACCCACTAGTAAATTATTTCATTTACTTTGTTGCGCTGATAAATTACTCTACTACTTTGAAATTTTTGGTTTAGTTTCGATATGTCATACAGTTTCCAGGATAAATTTCAACGGTACACAAGAAGAATCTTGACTTATCGGCATCCTGGTCAAGGTGTAAGTGTATTTCTTCAGTTTTGTGATGCGGCACAATACTCTATATTCATATGTATAAATTTCTTGGAGATATTTGCAAAGTATAGTGATCCCAAGTTAGGGAGAACCATAAGTGTTTGTTTTCTTGACTAATGGTAGGCTTCCTTCTTCGCAGTGAAACTTATTGATCTGTTTGTGATATCCTTCTACACCTTAATGGTTGTAGATTTTAACATTAAATTCTATACAACAATGATTGTTCAATGCCTCTTCGTGGTGAATGATTCTCTCCTTAACTTCAGTTCAGAATGAAAATCATCCTTTAAATGTATGTTACTACCTGCAAAGGTAATTCGTTTGACAACTGTTCAATAATATTTAAGCTTTGTTCATCCATATCACTATTCAGCAATGTGTTTATTATTAATAATACGTGTTAATGGCAGGAATTTGAAATTGTTTGTTCCCGATTTATCGATCATTTTGATTCAGTTCTTATCACACTTTAAACTTAATCCAAGTGAAGCAAGATCTATTATATTAACATACACATCCTATTTCTGGCTGAATTTTCAAAGTTTCTGCAAGAAATCATGGCACTGTCATGAGATGAATAAAGTCACCTTAAGATCCATTAGCTTGTCTATATTAGGTTGTGATGAATAAAATTTAATATTAGATTATGATTGTATGTTTAATTACCTAGCTCTAATAATGCTTAAATTTCTAAGTTTTACTTAAATATTTCTATAGTATTTCGATGTTTATAAAACATGTCGTTTCTTATCGAAACGTCGTGACTAATTTCTGTTATTTACTTTAAGGAACTTAGTTACGGTTTGTTTCTTTGATAATTCATGTATGGTTTACTTCATATGAACAAAATATCTTAGAATCTCGTGGTTGCTTTTTTATCTAAATATTTAATCTGTAATATGACAAGGTTCAAATAACCAGATAATTATATGAAAATGTAGAACTCAAATATTACATGAGAATAACGTTTGATGCCTAAATGGTTTTACTTTCAGGGATTTTCATTTTATCTATGCAGTACAAGTTTTGAGTGGGCTGCAGGATTTATCATCATAGTGTTTTTTATCACATGGGCTTACGAATTCAGATCATATGCTTTACAATTACCACAGGTAAATGTTGATGTTATTAAAATCCTATTCTTTATCACTGTTCTCTTAACATAGTGCCAAAAAATGCATGTAAAACGAACTCTGACTTATGGTTGTTATTTTCAACACCTAAATCTAACAAACGGTCTTTATGTTTCTAGGATATAGTCGACCATGCCAATGAGATTAGGGTCATTTTACTGTTGTGTGTGTGAGTAATCCACATGAACATTTATTCCCTCAACAATTATAAAAACCGTAAACTTTTGTTTTGATTTAGTTGTATTGCCGTAAAACGATATCACTAAAACTAAGTTCATCAGAACGAATGGTTTCTGAGTTATGAATAAGTTATCCTATTGTTTCCTTAAAGTATAAATGAAGATCTTCACTTGTTTTATGATTCATCCACATGTCTTTCAAGACACGTTATATGACATGCAGATGAATAACAATATAAGTAGATCAACGAACTACTTAACTAAATAAAAATGATTTATGTGATCAAGTTCACGGCCAAACAAAAACTTACATCCTTTTCTCGATCTCCGCTTGCCAAGTTTCAAAAAAATTGATATGAAAATTCTTACCAGACATTACAGTTATCTAGTTTAAATGTATGTAAATGTATTTGAGATGCTACTGTTAAAAAAGTCTGATAGATGGACATATTTTGTTATATACTTTTCATCATATAAGCTCAGTTGTTGAGTGTATCAAAATGATATCAAATTATTTAACAAATCTTATCTGTAAATCTGTTGTTTATGTTGTCTTTTTTCAGATTGTTAAAAAACATCCATCTGAATCTGATATCTACAGCCTCAAAAGTTGAAGACAGATACTGGTCACTTTAGAAGCTTTCTCCCTCAACTTCCAATAATTGAAATTTTTAACCCATATGTTATCACTATCTAAATTCATAATTACTTTAATATAATATTACTGACCATTCACGAGTAAAATCACACTTTACGTCATTATGAAGAAAGTAATTGAGTTTAATTAGTGTACCTAGTTTTGCGTTCTCTGAGTAATGATTTCTTAGATTTTCACCAAATAATTTATTCACCGTAACGTTATGACTACAACCGACAACTTAGATGATCTTTTTGTAAACTGAGATTCACGGTAAGGATGTAAAAATCGATTCTTATTATTCAACACATAGTGTTCACATATTTGAAAAGTTAGATTATTATTTAATTTTAGATGAATGTTGCTTCATCTTTGTACTACACAACGAAATTCGGCACGGTAACTTTTGCCAATGTACATATACGCTTGGATCTATGTTCTTTATTTTCTATTTTACCTTTGATAAGTTCATATAATGGTTTACAAATATGGTACGACTGCAACCAAGGCTACATACTTCACCATAATAGCGGATAAAACTTTTACGATATAGAGCCACATGGAAATGATTAGTAAGAAAACTGGAATCCCATCAATTTTCGTTACATTCAGGCAAAAATTATTAATTATTTTGATATTCACGGACAATACCAACATCTACCATTCGTGGAAAACTATCTTCACCTTAGATTGCTGGTTACTCAATTAAATGAGAGCGTAGACAGTAGTGAATATTTAAAAATGAAGATGTCTAAGTACTGAGGGGATAAAGCTTTATTTTGATGGAGTTTCGCTTTCTGAGCTTAGTGGTTTAATCTTAAAACTTTCATCGTCCTTCGAAACAATATCACCAACACAAACTTTAAATCAAAGTTACTTATCCGAATTTCTCCATAAATGACTTGGAGCCTATTCTTTCCGCCTTGATTTTATTAGGGCGATAAAAGTCTCACAAATACACCATCTCGCTCAGAAAAAGAAACCACTAAAAAAGGGTTTTTGCAGAGGAACTTTCAGTACTTAGACAACTTCATATCTGAAAACTCACAAAAGTCATCCACTTGGGCTGTATATCATTGTCATTTAACTTGTGTAAATAAACTACTTCAAAATACTGACTGTACTATAAGTATTCTTAAAATCGTTAGTTATAAAATCAGAAGATTAATTGAGAATTTTGCCCTGTGCTGTAGAAAACATTTCTGAAAAAATGTTGACGTAAATTTTTATTGGGAAGAAAAAAGAACTACATGAAGAAAGGTCTTTTTCCTGACATTGTTTCATCAGTCAACAAATTTTATTACTTACTGACAAGCAACAGATGTTACTTGAAAAACTAAGTTAGTCATAAGTGGTTTAACTATTATCCTTATCAAAAATTTGAATTTATTTTATTTCAGTACAAAATATTTAACGAAGTTAACCAATCAAATGCACATTATGTATTCTAGTATTATTGTCTTTTAGAACTTTGCAGTGAGCCTGATAATTTTATTTTTTAAAATAAATATAGTAAACATTAATCCAGTAAGTTGAACCATTGAAAACCTTTCTGCTTGATTGGTGGATGGTTTTTGTGCTTCAAGCCATCTGTCTAAAATCTGTACCCACCGAAAGGCTTGTGTTCTGTCGAAAATTTGATCATCATCATCAAAAGATTTTAAAAGATTCACGGAGAGCCATATTATATGGGCACACTTGCTTACTTGGAGAAACAGCATTTTTCCATGATTTGAAGCTAATGTCTGAAAATTTTCACACAGTTTTTTTAATACATCATCTATGAACTCAGTGATAAATTGGGCAATACTAGTACGATATAGTGTGTTTAGATGTGCTTTGAACGAACTGGAAAGGATCAAATTTAACTCAAGTATTGTTGAATCCCAAAGACTACTATCTGTTTCTGCAGAGAAATCCCTGGAAACAACAAATTTTCTTAAAAGATCAAGACATTGAATCAGACTCTCCGGGTTTTCGTTTAGCAGCTCCATTGTTTTGTTAATCCATAAACGAAATGTAAATTCTGCATCTTGTTTCATACTAAGAAAGGTATTCAGTTTCCTTGAAGAAATCAATCCTTTCTCACAATTTACTCTAAAAGCATGAAAAAGGATATTGTAGGATGAGGATAAAATTTCTTGTAAATAATATTTCAACTGATTAGCTGTTTGATTTGTAAAAAACATCATTATATTCTGCAGATTGAATTTGGTCATCTTTAGCTGACTTAAACTAAAAGCTGTATAGGTGCTGAGGTCTGTAAAACAAATAAAGTAAAAGTGTACTGTTAGAAAACTAAAATATCACCTGTTGTTTTAGTCCCCATTTTGAAGCTGATTTCGCAATTTGAATTGTGGTCACTTGGCTGCTTTTCATTTGAGAAATAATAATTAATAAGTGCTTCTTTTTCGTCCTCCCTTCTCATATACTGATTCTGAAGAAATCTGACAAAATCGTAGCTTGAAATACTTGGTGGCGTCTGTTTGACAAGATAAACTGCTACTGACACTTTCGCAACCACTAATGAAATGTTTGCCAAGAATCTGCTATAAGTTTCGTTTTTTTGCGGAATCATTATCTGCAACGCTAAATGTTGCGTGAAATAATATAAATTAATAAACGATCACCACTGTTAATTCAAAACATATCGAATTACGTAGGTTATTTTCTTTAAAAAACATCATTTATAGTTACTAATTTCAATGGTATTTTTATGTGTTTGTACATTTCAGTGTATTTTATAGTTTTTATTTTAAGACTTGGACCTGAATTGACGGACATTACGATAAATGTTATGCTTCGTTTGAGATGTATCCGAAGAGGGATTTCATTTTAGGCGTTCTTAGCAACATCTATGCCATAACATAACTTGTGCTTCCAGACACTGCGTCAGTATCACCCGAATATAACCATACTCGAAGAATACCTAATAAGGTGTGTACAGTGTTCTTTAAAATTATTAGTCTAATATCAGTTGCGTTATAGATATGACTACTACAACCAGATACATCTACAGATAAGTAATGCATGGTATGATCTGATTTGAATACAAACTGTTTTCACTACAAGCACACAAAAGTAAAGTGTTCTCTGAAGATGAAAGTTAATACTGTCATAGAACTGGGAAAATATAAGTCAAATAGCGGTAAAAGTAATAAAATATACAAAAACCTAATCATCAAAAGTGACTCCGAGTTCCTGGCAAACTCTGGTAGTTAGTGGAAAATATATCTGCAACACCGAAGAAACTGGCTCTCTAAAAAGATTTGAGCCTCAACCACTCAAGACAATCTTGGTTTTTGTGTGATTATACACTTCACTGGGTATTTTAATTTTTTTACTTAAGAGACCATGTGAAATATCGAAATTTGTTGCTGTAGTAAAAATTTGATAGATACGACTCGTCTAACAGTGATATCTAGACTTTATGATTTTGATTTACCCCCTGTAGCCGACAAGTACACGAAAGAATGAATGCTGTACAGCAGCGGTACCTAAATTTCTGCTCATGAAACTGATGTTTGGTTCGGCATATTAACACTTGTTATTACTTATTGAGAGCCAAAAATATTAAAACTGGACTCTTTCAGAAACTTTACTATCAATGAAGTTTGAAATAAAATTAGTCTGAACCAATGCAAAAGGTGTAAAGACTTCAAATTGCTTTAATCCGTATTCGTCACCATTCCTATTTCATCGGATAAACACGAGACCTTGTGACATATCTTCACTTTCTTGACGACCAAAAATGACCGTCAGGCGGTTTCAGTACAACCAAACATTTAAAAGATAAATATCGTAGATTAAATTACCAAGGAATTAATCCTGGTAATATCTGAAAGATTTAAAAACATATATAGTGGAATATTTCATGCACTGGTTTCCCTTATGAGTTTAAATAAAGCCACAACAACAATTGAGGCAAGATTGTACGAACTCACTATATTTTGTGGTTTCTCATCAGCTTCTTGCAATCATAGGTGTATTAAAGTATTAATCTAGTTTAGTTCACCAACAAGTTCATTTGCTTCACACCGTATCATACCTCAGTGTTACATCGTAAAACG